TGTTTCCTGCCCGGTTGGGGGGCGGACAGGGATGTCCCCTGCTCGGTTGGGGGGCAGACGGGGGGAGCAGCAGGTAGGAGAGACCAGTGCTGCAGGGACAGCTCGTGTTTGTCACACCGGGACGCTCCGAGGGGGTCGGTGCCCGCTCCTACGGCTCCAGCCGGTTCCCCTGCTCCCTCCTCCCCCTCGCTCTCCCGTTTCTTCCCTCCTTCATCGGCTCCATCTTCTTTAATCCTCCCCGGCGGCGTCTTGCTTTTCCTCTTCTGGAGTCTCGGTGCCTCGTTCACTCTCCTCTCCCTCCTTGTCCTTCTCCAAGTCGTCTCCTGTGGTTTCACTGCTGACATCTGGGGAGGAAAAAGCGACTTTCAGGCAGGACCCAGCGACCAGCAGGGGAAAGAAAAGGACCCCCGGACCCCCCCTCACACGGTTAAAAGCTCCCCTCTATCTTCTGTCGCTGCTGGGGACACCGGGTCGTTGCTGCCACCTCCTGCCCGGGGCCACACAGCCCCGGGAGCGTGGCGGTGAGAGCTCGGTGCTTTGATAACGATTTTAATTCAATACTTGTAGGGAAATCAGTATTTTTATACTCCCGAGAGGCAGCTGATGTCTCCCCAGCCCTACGGATTCACAGAGTCAGGTTTTGCCTCTGGCTGTGCCCAGGTCTCTGCTCTGGGAGATGGAGCTGCCTTCAGATTATTAAAACCAGCTTTTTTAACTGGATGGCACTGGAGAGTTATCACTCTTATCACTGCTGACATCTCTTACTTTGGTTCATACCAAAATTAAACCTCCCTTGGGCAAAAAACCCCCCCAAAAAACAGATTATAACTCTGCTGTGGGGCTCACGTATAAATTAACTCCTGCAAGTGTGCACTAGTGCAGGGGATGCACCACGGGGCAGAAATTTGCAAGGTTCTACCTGGGAATGGGGTGGGTTGTTCCCACATGTCAGTCTGTGCTCCAAGAGAAGAAAATGGGGATTTTTATATATATATATATATTTATGGGGTGCGAGGTCTAAATGACAACTACCTTTAAGAGAGTGAACCGTTTCTTTTCTTTTTTCATTCAGCTCTTCCATGAAGCTTTTGCTCACGCAATCTAAGGCCTGAAAGTGATGCAGCTTATTAACAAAAGCTCCAGAAATGCAGGTACACACCTAAATCTTTCCTGTTTTTTCATCTCTGCTGTCATTACCTGGCCCTCTCCTGCCATAAACCTCTCTGTAACAATATGCTTCATTTCTCCCTGGGGTGGTCACTCCCTGCCAGCATCCCTCCCCTGAAGAGCCCATCTCTCTCCATCTCTCTCCATCTCTCTCCATCTCTCTCCATCTCTCTCCATCTCTCTCCATCTCTCTCCATCTCTCTCCATCTCTCTCCATCTCTCTCCATCTCTCTCCATCTCTCTCCATCTCTCTCCATCTCTCTCCATCTCTCTCCATCTCTCTCCATCTCTCTCCATCTCTCTCCATCTCTCTCCATCTCTCTCCATCTCTCTCCATCTCTCTCCATCTCTCTCCATCTCTCTCCATCTCTCTCCATCTCTCTCCATCTCTCTCCATCTCTCTCCATCTCTCTCCATCTCTCTCCATCTCTCTCCATCTCTCTCCATCTCTCTCCATCTCTCTCTCCCATTTCTCTTCTGGCAGGACAGGCTCAGCCTGAGCTCTGGTCCCTCAGGAGAGGTCACCAACAGGGAGGTGTCTGCAGCTGGGTGTGCTCCATCACCCACCATTGTATCCATGAGGACCGGCTACCAGGACATGTGGGATGCTTTGCCAGGGCCATGCCCAGATGTTCTGCCACCCTCTGATGCAGAGTGGTTTCTCTGGGATGTTTTGGAAAGGGGGAGCTGTGATCAGCTCCATTCTGTGTGTGAAATCCTTGCCCCAAGCAGGTCAAAAGAAAAATTTCCCTTGACTTGAGCAGGGCTGGGCTTCACCCTTCTATAAACTGGGGCTAAGTCTCCTGAGCTGGGAGGTTTCATAACTTTCAATGGGCAAACTCCTTCAGAGGCTGCATTTCCCCCTTAACCCACGAGCTCTGATGTTTTCTGCCTTCACAGGGCCCAGGACAATAGTTCCAGCTCCCTCATCAAGGCTGCCCCTACCTTCTACGCTCTTCACAACGATCCACTTACAGTGATGATGGCCTTTTGAGCAGCTTCATCGTGAATAAGCTTTGCCTTCTCAAGTGCTTTTTCAAAGTTAATGATTGCAGACTGGTAACTCCTTAATTTTACTGTAAAAGACAAATGAAAAGATCTATTTTGACCCAAGATCAAGAGAACGCCGACAGTTAATCAAGCAAGTCTCCGAGGAGAGGTCCTGATTTGAACAGTTGGCTGTTAAATCACAGAGATGTTTCACTACAAGGCTGAACAGATGGGCTGTTTCCATCCTTAGAGCAAAATTTGTCCCAATGCCTTTACCTTGTGCTTGTGCCACCAGCACAGTGGCATAGAGCTGCCACTCAATGTCCCCCTCCTCATCTGCCAACTGCAGGGACTTCTGCCCGTAATTTTGGGCTTCTTCAGCTTGATTCAGCTCCATGTAACATTGGCCGATTTCGTGGAACAGCCAGGTCTTCTCCAGGCTGGATTTTGCCATCGGAATCTTCTCCTCCCAACTTCAAGCAGAGTCAGACAGACATTTACAACTCTCACAAGTGCAGTTATAATTTCAGCCACTAATTCTACAGACAAAAGGCTTCCAGGTTCTGTTGGTATGAAAACATCACAGCCCCCTCGCCAGCAGTATGAATAAACAAACTGAAAAGCCATTATCTATGAATTCAAAATATAACCTTATGCCTTTTCTATTACTAATTTTACATACGTGTCAACAGCTTGCTGGAATTTGCCCATTCTGCCATAAACTCTGCCGATGTTATCAAGGGCTCTGGATATGGCATCCGGCAGGTTGCTGCATTGAAAAGAAAAAGAAATTATAGTCACTGAAATAGTCTTGTTCCTGGTACAACCTGTGTTTCTCCAGCCCTTGTGCTTTATTTGGTGCCCACTATGACTCCAGGTAAGTGCTGAGACCCAGAGGTAAGAGACCAACCTCAGACTGAACGTCTGAAAATCAAGACAGATTTTTGCTTTAATCTCCAGCTGTTGCAACTGGCACCCATAAGACACAGGGAAAATGGGTTTGGTTTGCCTTTTTTGGGTTTGGTTTTTTTTTTGGTGCAGATGTGGCAGTCCTTGTGAAAGGCTTCCCACTTTTCTTTGCCTCAATTCCCCTTTGTTGCCCTGTGGGGTCCCAGGGAAGTCCCCTCCCAGCTCCTGGGTCCCCAACACCAATCCATGATTCCTGTCCCAGAGACAAGGGAAGACCCAAACCCGTGTCTGAAGCTCCTGCCTCAGACTCTGGTGACAGTCCCCACTCCCAGAGCTCAGAACAACCTCTGCCCTGTGCCAGAGGTGGGTCCCTGGAATAATGCAGCCTCTAGACTTTAATTTTTTCCTTAATTAGGCCTCACTCCCGCTTTCGGGGGTGGCCTCCTTTGCTTACCCTTACTTTGTAAATCCAAAATCTGAGGACAGAGGGCTGGCTGGGGGCGATGGGGGGGGTGAGCCCCATCTCCTCTCACCCGCTGAACTCGCCAGCAGAGGGCGAGCCCCCCCCGGCGCTGCCTTCCTGCCTTTAACACAACTTTACAGCCATTAAAAAAAGAGCTAAAATTACGTACAGCCCTCCTGCCTCTCTCCTGCTAATTGTTAGCTTCATTTGGCCTAACTGGGGAGTGGAGATCACCCAGACAGAGGCAGAAACTTCTTAAACCAATATTAATTTTTTGAAGTGATTTGTAAAGATGATAAACAATGTCAGTTACATTTTAAAAGCCCTTTGCAGTGTTGGCAAAAATCAAAGTAACTTCCACTCTTACTAACTCCTTAGACTACGTTTCTCTCCATTCTGGTTTAGCTGAAAGAGCTGCAGAATGTGTTCTGTATGGGCAGGAAACTGCACCTCTTAGAGAAATATTTCAAGCCTGCTATCATGGTTTGAATGAAAAGTATTTTAAGAGAAAACACAGCAGAAAATTCGTGCAATTTAGAGCCTGACCTTCCTGAGAAGGAAGTGCACACCAGAGCTGAAGTGCTGAGGCTGGGACTTGTGTTCTCTTTTCCTTGCTTCAGCAGAGATTTAGATGTGCCACATGGCCTAGGCTCCATAAAAATCTGCTTCAGGCTCCTTATTTTTGAAATAGTGAAGATAAGAAGTCACTAGAGACTGTGACACTCGGGCAGAGTTTGAATGCATTGTCCTGTTAAATCTCCAGGTGAGAATTCCAACATTACCCTATGCTCAAACACCTTAACAGAGGGGCTTTCCCTCTTTTCTCCCCTCCATCTGAACTTCCCAGCACTCACCTCCTCCTGGCACATTCCAGGTCCATCTTATGGCTTTGCAGAGCTGCCTGCAGCCGGCCCATCTCCAGCTGAGCATTCCCAATGCAGCTGTAGAGGTTTCCAATCAGCTCATTCTTGTTGGGCACCTCATTGTCCGACCACCCTTGGATTGTTTTCAGCAAACGCTCAGCTTTCTTGCAGCTCTCTTCAGGGGCATCCTCAGTCAGCACTAGAGAGAGAGAGAGGGGAGAGTTTAACACTCCTGTGTGGTCACGGTGATATCAGGGAAGTAAGACCAAGAGCAGTTGTGCAAGTGTCGTGGTTTGAGCCCTCAAACCAGCAGAGGAAGCCTCAGACAGAGCATGGGAAATGTTAGAGCTCCAAACCCATCATGCATCTCCTACACTCCTCCTTCCAACCTCCAAGAAATCTGCCCCTGGGAGATGGTGCTTCTGCTCCTCCCCCGGGCACTGCTGGAAATCACTTTCATCACACACTTATGGGGAAATGACTCTGGAAACACCTCACGCCACCTGAAGAAAAATAAAGGAGAATGATGCTTGTTGTCTGAAGGTTTTGAAAGCTTGTTGTTATTGCAGCAGGGCAGCCTGGGCTCGGAGATGAAGGTCTAGCAACAGTACTTAGGGCTTGATCTCCTAACTCAGCCCCGGGCACTTTCCCTGTGAGCTCTGTTCATGGCACCCAGCAGGGCACGGGCTGCAGGAATCAGGCTACAGATACTTCTGAAACCACCTTTGTCGAGCTGGTGAAGCTTAAAAGAACTGAACTGCAGTAAGGACAAAATTCTTTTCCCTGGGTTGTAAAATATGTAGCACAGGAAGAGAGAAAGAGACACCAGAAGTGGCTGAATTACTCCTTCCTTCACACCACTGTTTTTCAGCTTTTTCATCTCTCTACGGTGGTATTTTTGAACTACAGAAGTGATTGACCCCCGTGGCCACTGTTCTCTCAATAAAACAATGTCTGACCAGCAGCCTGGGCAGAGGCATTTGCTGGGCACATGGCAGTGCCCAGCCTGGCCACGGTGTCCTGAGAAGCCATCAGCAGGGCCTCAGGTACAGAGAGAGCTGAGAAAAAGACCATGTTGGATTCTGTATCTAAGAAACTGTCAGGAAAGGTGAAGAATACAGGAGCAAATGCTTCCCCACGACTGCCTATTAGTGTTTGTTAATACTTGTGCTGCTTCTGTTGTTCTGGGCTGTAATTACTACAGCAAATAATTACACGTGCCAACCAGCATTTTCTTACTGCTTCCAGCCAGGACACCTACACATATCGATGTCCTCCATGCTCTTCATGATGTATCTGCCAATATCAGCTGGTTTTTGCTTCTTGTCCCGGATCCACTTTTGCTTCCGGAGCTTGCGCTCTTTCACACGGGCATAAATAGGCTTCTGCTGCTGCCAGAACTCACTCCGTGTGTCCAGGTAGGAAATGCCACCCAAAACCAGCTCTGATACTTTGATGCCCTCCTTTGTGCTGCTCTCCATCAAATCTGAAAAACGAGACAGCAGAAGCCAGGGGAATATTAATGTAACAATGGGTGAAGGTGCGGCGCATGAGGGACTGCTCGTGAAGGGTAAAGACCCTCTCTGATAGAGACAGTTGTAGCAATTAAAGTCCCCAGTGCTCCTCAGAAGGGATGTGGTTAGGAGGGAGGTGACAGACAACCCTCCTGTGTATTTTAGGGGTTCCCAGCCCCTGCACCCGCTGCTAAGAAGGGGCCCAATTAATGAGGCCCAGCTGTGATGAGGGAGCATTTGTGCTGAAACGGCCAAGTGTTGTGGGTTGGACTGAAAGATGGAAACTGAGAAGGGTTTGACGTGCCTGGAAACCAGGAGCCCACATGTATTATTGATGCCAGTGATGCCATAAAACCTGTGGGCAGACTGAACTCTTAATCACTTCTCCATAGTGCTGCTACATCTCTTATTCGGGAAAGAGTTCCCTAGAAAAATGACTAAATGGGAGTCACCTTTCTGCCGAGTTCTAAAATAAGATACTTCTCTGAATCTTGTGTCTTGTTCTTAACAGCATTTGTAACAAAACCACAAATGAGTTACAGTCTTAGGAGCAACACTTTGTGCTTAACGCAAGTGCTAGTGGAATTGATCATTATGACAGAAGTTAAGTAATGATATTGCTTCTGCTTTTGATTTCGTCAGCACAGATTGCTTTCAGTTGATTTACTGTTTGCTATAAAAGCCTGACATTCAATAGGGAAGGAACTATGCTCTTAGTTATGAATATTGGATCTGGCTCCAAAAACACCTGTGCTCTCCAGAGCCCAGAAGAGAGTAGAAGAAGAAAAAAGACCCTGCTTAGAAGGAATATTCAGTTAAATACAATGGAGAAAGACCTTCATCCTTGAGCAACTTTTCTAGGTAGGCCTTGTCAGCATAAAGCTCTCCAAGAAGCTGTCGCTCTGTTTTTGGATTCCTCACAGACTTCCATTTCTGTTGGCATCTTTGATCCTTAGCCAGTTTGAGTTGAAGTTTCTGATTTGCTTTGTTGCTCTATGGGCAGGAAAAATAAAGGAGGTTGGGTGAGATTAGTGAGGAACACTAGTAGTAACATAATTCTGTTTATACTCCATATAAGCCAACTTATTTTTTAAAATAAGAGCAAAAAGTCAGTGTCTGACTGCTTTGGTCACGAGCAACTGAGATTTTGCACTGCTCCCTCACTTCCAAGAACAGGAGCAGGCATTACAGTCAGAGCAAGAATTAGTTCTGCCCTGGTTGGTGCTGGGGAGAGGCCAGTTTGGCTGCCCACAGCCAAAGAAACAGAGACTGGGACAGCCAGGGGCTTCTGAAACATCAGGAGGGCATTTCTAAAGTTTCACATCCAAAATCCCAACACCTACAGAGCTAATCTTTAGGCTCCTTTGTACAAATTATTTTTAGCACCAACTACCTGTAATTCTAGCTGCAAGAAGCAACGAACATGACCTCAAAGGGCAGGGCAGCTTGGCATCTTGGGGGAACAAGGCGCTACTTCAATGGACCACCCCAAAAATTAAGCAATCGAGAAAGTGTCCATTATCAAAAATGTGAACCTTTAAACATCAGGTAAAACTAAAGTAAATATTGTAGATAAATGTACCCTGTCTGCAACCTCAGTGCTGTTACTTATTAGCCTGTGGTGGGGGATCAGCACCACCCGCCACGAACAGGCCGGGGGAGAAATGTCAGACTGGGCTGTTTCTCTTCTCTGTCTCTCCCTAAATTCTGGGTAGTCTGAGCCAGAACCACACTAAAAGCAGGTGCACAAATGCTCTCAAACAGATGGGTGTGCTTCCTGTGCTCAGAGGTGCTTCCCTACACCCACCACATCCCCATCCATGGCTGCAGAGACTATTAATCCTCTAATGCCTCCTTCGGAGCCCGCTAGTGCTGTAAAAACTCCTTTAGCTCCCAAAACAAGAGCTGTTCACACTGTACCTCTGCCTGCCTGCTTATAAAGCACAGATCCTCTCTGTTCTCCAGTTTAACTGTGGATGGACCTGTGAAAACAGACAAAACACTTGTTAGTGGTCAAGGAGAGCAGGGCAGAGGCTTTAGAAATTAAAATGACAGCGAATGTGCCAAGCTTGTAACGTCCTGTTTTACACAAAGCTTTCTGCTAATTCTTTCCTATGAAATCCATGGCTGTTGGATATTCCAGGGGCAACACAGCTCAGAAGCAGCTCCTCTTGGGGTTTTAATTACTGCTTTCACAGGGCAGCAGGGAGCTCCCAGCACAGGGCTGAGATGTGCTACATCCCGCATGGAACCAGAGGAAGAAAAAGGATCCCTTCTGAGGGATCACAGCTGAGGATTGAGATGGGAGGGAAGCTCTCAGCACAGGGATCTCCAGAGAACTAGTTTAAAGCTTTTCTGCGCTGACACTGGGGTGAAACTCCCATTTCACTGTCCCTCTGACATCCCGCTCTGCTGTTCCAATCACACTCTGGCAGTGGAGGTAGGAGTGAAACCCAGCTCTTTGGCTTGGCCTGGTCAGAAGGAAGGGAAGAGCTTCGTGCACTGGGGTAGGAGGATTTTTCTCCAGCACAGCACCTGGGCCAAGATCAGCACTGCCAGTACACGTGTTCCCCAGAAGGTGGGTGTTTCCGAATCTGCCAAATAAAGCAGATTCAGTAAAGCAGTTTTGGGGATGTGCCCTGTTAATGTGTGTGCATTTCCCAACTATTCAAACATCTAGATCAAATGCTAACGCATTTCCTTGCTGCTTTTCCCCTGCATCTAGGAGCTATTGCTTGATTAACAACAACAACAAAAAAAAGTCTTCTTGGTTCATTTCCCTACAGCCTGGATGCTTGAAGGCATGTAAAACCCTCAGCTCAATATACCAGGCATGGCAAGTGTTTCAGCTGAAAGCTGCAAAGGTATCCAGGCGTTTGTGTTAAGCTAAGAAAGTGGGACTAATGGAAGGAAGCAAGTCAGATCTGGAAACTTTCTCTGTTTTTTTAAATATATATCACATGTGAAAGAGCATCAGGCTTTCAGGCAGCCAGGGGATGAAGTTATCTGTGGTGCCGGAGGTGGGCAGCAATTTGGGAACTGATGTGAGGGTGAGGAAGGCACTAATGAGACAAGGGCTGAGGCCATGTGCCTGGCTGTGCACTCTGCCTGCAACAGGGATGCTGAGAGAAAATCTAAGGGGAAAGGGACAAGTTCTCAGTCTGCTTTGAACATGGCCGGGTCCTTGGCCTTTCCTGTCTCCTGCAGGACGCCGTTCTGCGACCTGAGCCAGCAGTTATGAAAGCTCCATTGCAAGAGTCAACAGTTTCACTGGTCTTATGCAACGTGAATTGGAGGAAAGTCAGGATCTCAGGACGGCCAGTCTCAGGTAACAAGGCAAATTTCATTACGAACTTTGAATATTAGGATAAAGATCTAAAAATGGATCCTGTAATCAGCAGGGCTGTCTGTAGATGAGCGGCTTTCTTCTGTATCACCTAGAACGTTTTCATGGTGACTTGGGAAAGTTAAGTCAGTGTCATCATCTACTTACATAACTGCTGCTATTAGACCCTGTGTATAAACAGGCATTCAGCCAAAAAAAAAAAAGAAAAAGAAGAAGAAAAGAACAGGGCTGTGCTCTTTTTGGTGCTTCCTGGTTTCATCTGAGAACAGGCATCGAGCACATGCATCTAGAAGCAAAGAGAATCTGTTGTTGCAGGGTCCTTGGCTCCCTTGCAGAGGTAATTTGCCACCAGCTGTCCCCAAACAGCTCCTGGCTGCGCATGTGGGGGCCATGAAATGGAACATCTTACTTCCAACACAGTTGACAATGGCCTCCTGGGACTTCTCGATACCCAGCTTGAAGCTCCGCAGCTCCGGACGCAGTTTGCTGCCTCGGTGATAAAACACTAACGCAAACTCAAAATCACCCATGGTATATAACGTCTCCGCCTTTTGGTAAAGCCCCTAAAGTGACATTTGGGGGGAAAGAAAAAAGAAAGAAAGAATAAAAAGGAGGGGAAAAAAAGCTTCAGAGATCTCAATTAACTCCCCGCTAGGCCCAAGTGAGAGCACTTTGCTATTGCAATCCACACACAATAAAATCCAACCCTGGAACTCTTTCTCAATTGTTGACTGAGCACCTCCCCTTCTCTGCAAGCAATAAAAACGTCAAGGGTGTGCTTAGAGTTGGCTGCTTCTACACAATCCTGTCTCCCAGCCCCCGTCACAGGTAAAAGACTGGTCCTTGGCCACCCCACACTCCTGTCACTTTGTGCTTTTTTACCTTAGAGAACGTTTTGTCGCTCTGGAGGGAAGCTTCAGCATCATTCAGGGAGTTTGCTGTGTCCCCAAGTTTTAGGTAACACTTTGAGCGGGCAACCAGAGCGTTCTTGTCCCCTGCCCTCAGCTTCAGGGCCTGCAAAGCAGCCGACAGGGGGTAAATCAGCAGGGCTGGGCTGAGCAGCACAGACAGGCAGCTACAGGGTTGCGATGTGACCTGCTCTGTCCCCACCCAGCTCGGGACAGGGGGGGCAAGGACAAAACCACATTTTTACTGCAAAGAACACTCTGGTGACATTCACACATGCCTTCTGCCACAGCCACCCATCCCTCCAGGCCCCTCTGAGCCCTCAGAGAGGAGCTGAGCCTCCTGGCTGTCCCCCAGTGCCACCTCCCCTCACACACCCGCCCCATCGTGTCACCCCCGTGTCACCTCCCTTGGCCCTGCGACCCCCGGCCGCCCCTGGGGATGCTCCCCCCGCTGCCAGCGCCTCGACGGGGCCGCCTCCCGCGTCCCTCCGCGTCCTCCTTCCCCTCGCGTTGCCACCTCTGCCGGCCGCCCCCACGGAAACCGGTCGCCCCTACGGGAACCGGCCGCCACAGCCGTTCCCCTCCCCTCGTGGCCTCCACCTGCGGCCTCCGGGACACCCCCCCCGCCTTCCCCGGTCCGGTCCCGGCGCCCTCACGTTGTTGAAGCAGCCCAGGGCCTTATCGTAGTCTCCCCGCTGGAACAGCAGCGTCCCCTGGGCCATGAAGCCGAGGAAGGTGCCGACCGGCACGCTCTCCTCCGCCTCCGCCGCCATGTTTTGCCGCCGCCGCCGTCGCTTGGCAACCGTTGCCTGGCACCCGCTCCACTTCCGGCGCGGCGCCAAGCCCCGCCCAGACGGTGACGTCACGGTGGCGCGCTCGGGGCGGTTTCCCGCGCCCCGGTACCCGCTGCCTCCGGGAACGGCTGCCCCAGACCCCGGGGCTGCCGGAGCGGGGGTTCGCTGCTGCGGGGGGCTCGTCCCTCCGGCTGCGGGGTCCCGAGAAAGGGCCCGCCCTGTCCCCGCAGCAGCGCTCTCCGGGGGCCCGGCGGGGCCGGTGCCGTTCACGGCGAGTCCGCACAAGCACGGCGGGGCGGGGG